ACAGCTGGAGCACACTCACCTAGCACACTCCCGAGACTGCCAGGAAGCTCGCATCAGGACGGGGCCGTCAGCGGAGCTTCGAGCCATCAACGTGTATAACGATCAGCAATAAGGAGCAGCCCTTAACCTCCTGCAGGATATACTGGCGCCGGCACGCGGGCAGAAGGGGGTTTCCTACCTAATCCTCGGCGATTTCAACCTCCACCATCCGGTATGGGGCGGGGAAAATGCCCAACGCGATGCTAGGGCAGAGGACCTTCTTGACCTCATGGAGCTAGCCGGCCTGGATAACTGGATACACCCAGGCACCGTCACACGCAACCAGGCTGGCTCGCAGTCCACGATCGACCTCGTTCTCGCGTTATACTCGCTGCGCGAGCAGATGATAGCATGCGAGGTCGACCTCAGCGTCCACGCCGACTCAGACCACCTTCCAATTCGCACTATACTCGAGATCAACGTGCCAGAGGCTTCAGATCCTGTCAAACGGCGAACTAGCGGAGACCGACCAGGAGAAGGTTAAACTACTTCGGCAAGTATTCCTTCCACCGCCACCGGCTGCTGATCTCTCAGATATTGATACTACCCACTACCCTGACCAGATCGACTTCCCGGCGATCTGCAGACAGGAGGTTGTTGATGCAATCAAGCGAGCACCGCCGGATAAAGCGCCTGGTGTGGATTCGATCCCGAACGCGTGTGGAAGGTCCTAGCTACCAGTGACGAGTTCGTCGCAATAGTAACCGGTATCTGAGATCTAGTTAGTTATAACTAGCTCTGTTCGTATAACTAATACTCGAATTCCCCCCCCCTCTCTCCTTTCTTGATAGTATATTTCCTGGCTACTTTGTAAACGTTTGAGGACCTAACTCAATCCTGGGATTACATCGTGCCTAGAGACTCCTCTCCGACATCTTCATTAGATCATCGACCCGGATTGACGTCGCCCACTCCATCCAGAACGGGAAGTGCTACTACTGACGCCCAATACTCCAAAATCCGGGCCCCTCGTCCTTTTTGCCTTCCCAGCCCCAATTGTCTACTTCCTTCCGGTTCACATCTGCCCCTCCCGAACAATATTTGCCCATAATGGCTGCGCGCCAATCGACACCCACGTCCGACCATTTACATTCGGACGGTAATGTTCGTAAGCGGGTGTGCAAGGCCTGCGATCGCTGTCGACTGAAGAAATCCAAGGTATGTTCTGACGGCCATAGTGTGGCTAGGCTTGCACTAACCACTTTTCAGTGTGATGGAGCTAGCCCATGCTCTCGCTGTCGAGCTGACAATGCCATCTGTGTCTTCGGGGAACGCAAGAAGGCCCATGATAAAGTGTACCCTAAGGGGTAAGCTTGCGACCTGACTATAGGGTTTCTGAAATGTATACCTGACAGTTCTTCCGCCCTAGATATGTTGAGATGCTTGAACAGCAACAAACCTGGCTGGTCCACGGCCTCCAGGAGCTCTATCGACGATTCACCGATGGCGAAGGCTGGGCCGGCAACCGATTGAACCCCGAGCCCAATGGCAACCCGCTCACACACGAACTGCTCATCCACTTGGGCGTCCTCGATCACAGTAAAGGCGAGCACTTCGAAGAAAATCCCGAGACCATGCAGCAGGACCTGTGGCGCTCCAACGCTGGGCATATGCAACGCCAGGAGTCATTCGACGGCAGCACCGACAGTCTGCAGTCCCCCACGGCTCGGTCTCGCTTGTCTTCCGACGCCTTCAGCCAGCGCCAGATGCCTCCCACTCCGCCGGCCTATAGCCCGAAGGCGCGTGCGCCCCAAATCAAGGGCGAGCCTCAGATGGCCGGCAGCTATGCGCAGCAGCTGCCCATGCATGGCGTGGTCAACCCGCTCGCTCTAGAGGGTGGTCCTCAACAGCAACAGCAGTGGTCCAATAACCCCCGCTTTAATCCTTTTGATGAGATGGACCTCATGAACTCGGCTGACTATGCCAACTTGTCATTCGATGACAACCAAATGGCCTCACCCATGTTCAACCGCCAGATGTCCATGAACTGCATGTCGTCGGGGTTCTTTGTCGACCCCAAGAACGACTGCGAAGACTTCAACCAATTCCTCAATCCGAATCCGACGGAGATCACCTCCATCTGATTTCTTTTTGCCTTTTTAACGCCATATGACGTGATGCATGTATACTATACATGTTTCTTATTTGGGTTCTTGTTCTGGGTTCGGCTTCTTTCTGTTTCTGGGGCTATTATCCCCTACTGCCTGGTGCAATTGGGTGTCCTAATATCAATCACTGTACAGAGACTACTACTGGGCGGGGCGGTCTTTTTGGTGGTTTGGTTCTGCGGTGTCTGGTGGGGGGGGGGGGGGGGGGGGGGTTTGGTTTGATTCTTGACTCTTTTCTTCAAATCTACGCAGAAAAGGAGATTCCCTTCTCTTTCTTGATGGCGTTGGTTGGCCTTTGTCATGTCACCGTTACACTATTTCGATGAAATCAATTTCGATCCCAAACCCTCGCAAAACTTGAAACAGGTTGGCAGAAAACCAATGAGAGGATATTTATTGTAAGATGAAGGCAGGTGAGTACGTAACTAGGAGATGCGCGATCAAAAATCTCATACGGAGCATTGCCGAGAATCGACAGTAATTTGCAGATTGCAGCTGGCGGATTATCACAAGTTGAGATCCTCCGAATCAATATCATCTACCAAACTGATCATCATACGAGTGCCTAGTATTGCCGTTGAAGTCGACTCCAGCGAATGCCTGTCGCCCCCCATCCTTTGTAAAGGTAACCAACCACTTAGACTGTTTAGGCTCATGAGCCAACGTCCAAAACATGTCTGCATGTGCATCACCATCAATCTGCAAACCAGCTGGTCGTCCATCGGGTTTGCGCTCATCGACGAAGTAAAACCTGGGCGCACGAGTCAGATACAATAAATACACCTCTTGGCTGGGAAGTGCAAAAAAGAGATCGAACCTGTAACCATCTTTACCATATGCGTTGGCTGCATATTCTACAAGCATCGCTGCAGCCACTTTCCCAAGTGCAAAGGGCATCACGCCTGGGATGGCGATCTGGTTCAATGTGTTACCAGTATATATGAACGCGGTGGGTGTTGAAGTGGGAAGCATTCTGAAACCTTGCAAAGCCTGCTGAGCGGCGATATAGGCACTATCAAAACCGACTGTGCGAGCAGCATTGATCGCTCCCAAGGGTGCGGAGAGAGGGTCGTCGTGGGGAGTTATGAGACGGTTAGCCCCTTCGCACGTCAGCTAGTCACATAGCCAAGAGAGGTATAAAAATGCACGAACCGTTGAAAACGACGATATTGGGAACGCCAAACGCTTTCCCTACGGTTTGGAATATTGATGGAACAGAATTGGGATTAGACAGGTCGGCCTGGATGTTAAGATAACCTTCTGCTGAAAATCCGTTTGACAAATTGCGAGCAACTAGGGCGACCTTGTAGCCATTACTTGCGAACCTGGATGCGACGGACCTTCCAATGCGAGGCCCGGCTCCAATGATGAGTACCACTCCTGTGAAAGGCATTGTTCTAAAACGAGAGGCAGAGATATGGATAGGACAACACTGCTAAAATTAAGAATGAGAAAGCGCGCAGAATTGATGTGATATGCAGGCAAGCTAGGGAAGCACCATATAGTTTAAAAGGGCAATGTGAAATGTTGAAAGCCCTACAAGCCTGTGTAACTATGTAAGAATAATTCGGACACAGTATTCCCATTTCCGCATTCATTTCAAATCAGTCCGCATTGGTCTTTTCTTTGCAATCGTAGTGGAAACTCAATTTCCCCCTCCGCAGTCCGGACTATACGTTTAAACAACCCCGCTATATTATTAATCATTGCTGCGGTCCTTTTCAACTTAGCGGCGTTTGCTATTCTAAATTTGAGACTGTTTGAATACCATTCCGCTCGCAACTGAAGCGATACGCAAATAAGTGAAATCAGGCTGAATAGCATGTATTTCAGATTTAGTTTGCCCATCCTGTATGGGTGTTGAACAACGGATTATGCAGCAAGAGGGGGGGGGGGGGGGGGGGGTATAGAAATGGGATACTGAGGCCTCCTCCGAATTCAATTACAGTAATTGTACCGAGACACCCGAAATGATAGCAAGTCAGGCAGCCCGGAAATCAATAATATCGCAGATGACTGCAGATCCACATCGAAACGGAAACCCGGGGTCTACCAAAACGGATGAATCACCAGAGGACAACCGGTATATGTCGGGGTACAGCTCGTATAAGTTAGGAACTCGTCTGCCTGGCTCTATCGCATCAGGTATAATTTGAACCAAAGTTGACAACGACTACTCTCATGCAAGGGAAGAGAAACCCAGGCGGTGCATGACGACAAAAGGTCTAGAGCCCAGGAACAACAATCAGTGAATTTACACTACTGCCACTACCGCCGCGCCCGCTCGGCATCCTTATCCCCGCCTGATCCGAGGGCATTGGAAATCATCACCGCGTGGAAGTAAAGGGAAGTAAAAAAAAATAAGGCATCTCAAGCCAGCCCCGCCGTGCCGAAGAGATCCCGCTCTCTTATACGCTTGTCCTTCTCGCTTGCATACCTGGTCCTCTCTATACCTCCCTCAGCCCTACGGCTTTGTTCAACTAGCTGTCCACCACACCGAACAAGAACCCCCCAGATCTTTTCATTTCTATTTGTTGTGATATATCGTATTGTATCGGAACCAATTTCTCACAGTACGGAATTACCAGGATTGATTGGAAATCAATCTGGAGGTTGAATGCTGTATATAAACCCTCAAGTTTCCTGTCCACAGGAATATAAGTAACCTTCCTCTGAAATACAACAGGTTATGAGCCCGGGTGCAATACTCTCGGGTGCCGTCTCTAATCACTCTGAGAATCATTACCTATATACCATATCTCGTTGAAGCTATCTTGCCCCGCACTTAAGACATAATCACAATGTCGACATATATCCCGCATTGCCCTGACCGAATGGTCGCTGCCATTGAGCTCAATTGGGGATCAAGCACATGTTGCAATCCTCTTAACTCAGATTGGACCGGAATATGCGTTGATAGTTGACGCCATCCAAAGTGACAAGGATCCGGTCAATCCCGCCACGATCGGGAATCGGCTTGCAAATACCGAACGGACAGTCTCAGCAAAGAATTCTCCAATTCCTCCGCGCGGAGCGCCGTCAGTCAATACGGTGAAGACGTCCGTCAAGAAATGGAATTACTGCAAGAAACGAGGCCATGAAGTCTCGAAATGTTGGAAAAAAAACCCGCATTTGCGCCCTCAGAAGGACGGCGGATTCAAAACAGAAAGGAGTGTTTCCGGGTCGCCACGAAATGAATCATATCAAGGCCAGGGAGAAAAACGGCAGGGCCCACCTGCTTCTAATAAGAGACTGAGGATCAACATTGTGAGGGCGAGAGTGACGAGTCTCTATACCCACGCGCCGAATCCACGGTGGATACTCGACTCTGCTGCCACTAGCCATATTTGTTGGGACCGGGAGTGCTTTAGCAGTTTCCGAACCCACTATGAGATGCTAGACACAGCGGGAGATCCAGTTGAAGCCGAAGGCATTGGCACCGTTAAGCTTACCCTCAAGGGGAAATTCAGCCGAGCCCTGATCCTTAAGAATGTCTACTACGCTCCACGGATCGGAATGAACCTGATCAGCGTACCAAAGCTCTTGAGGGATCGCTATTCTATGGTAGCGCACCCACAGAACGTCTTTCTGCAACGCCGAGGACGAACTATTGGGACTGCCTTCCATAGAGAAGAAGATCTATTGATCTTGCGATGCCGTGTGAGTAAAAGATCTAGACCTCAGGTCCAACTGGCTAGGTCATCGTCCAACTATAACCATGAAATGGATATCGATGAACCATTAGAGTCAAGTAGTGTACCGTGCGCAGTGACTACCTCTGAACTCAATGGTGAAGCTCGGATACTCGAGGAAGATGCAAGCATAGGAGTTGACCAGATCCCTGAAGAAGCACTCTGGCATGCTAGATTAGGGCATCTAAACCGAGGAGACCTAAGGACGGTCCTTTCTCAAACTGGCACTCCGTACCGGCAACAGACAAATGCAGAACTGCAGGCAACGCCGCAGTGTCCGGCTTGTATGTCGGGTAAGCAGCATCAGAAGAGGGACTCCCGTCAAAGAAGCCCACATCTTCATTCCACAAGAACCTTTGAAGTCATACACTCTGATATTCTAGAAATGCCAGTCGGCAAAGATGGCTCTAGGTACGTGGTCACCTTTACTGACGGCTTCTCTCGAGGTTCATAGGCATATTGTATGAAACGAAAATCCGAAGCGCTTCCGAAATTTCAAATCTTCGAAGCTTGGGTCAATCATCAATTTGATCTTCGAATCAAACGGTTCCTCTGTGATAATGGCAGAGATTACCTTGCAATAGGGAGGCGATGTGTCAAACCCAACCCCCTGGGGTTCAAGGTAACTCTACCTCAAGCTTCGGGCTCCAGCGTCTATCTTTAAGAAAACACCATACGAAGCCCTCTATGGCCAGCCTCCTAAGCTGACTCATCTCCGGCGGATCGGTTCCCGTGCATGGGTTTTGATCCCAAAAGAACAAAGAGACAAAATCAGACTACGATCCTCTGAATGTCGGCTATTAGGTTACTGCGAACCTAACCAATACAAGCTCTATGAAATTTACTCAGGCAGGGTAGTATTCTCTCATGATGTCGAGTTCGACGAGTGAGCCCCTATAACTCCGTTCGTTAAGGAAGAGACCAGCCATGACACTTTGGCTAATGGCCTCTCTCAGCCAGTCCTTCCTAAGCTAACAGGGTCTGTACGGGCTTCAGAGCCATTAACACCGCCGCTATTACCTTCTGGCGACCAACGGGAGCAATATTCTGAGCTATCAGATTTGTCTAATCAGCATAATGAGCCTATTCGATCTGAACCACCTCCGCAGCCTATCAATCCAACCGTCAGGGATGCACGAGAGACACATGATCTAGGGTACTCGCTCTACGGACGAAAACGCAAGCCTTCACAAAGACTCTTAGAATCTCTTAGCAAAGCCTATGCTGTGTCTCCACTACTGGCTTCGTCTACAAGCTCTGACCCACTGACATTTGATAAGGCTATATCTGGCCCAAATCAACTCGAATGGTGGGCGGCTATCCAGAGAGAACATCAGTCTCTACTCAACAATGGGACATGGCAAGTATTTCGCCGACAAGATGTTCCCATCGGACAACAGATTATTGGCTGCAAATGGGTCTTTAAGACGAAGGCCAATCAAATCCGAAAAGCACGGCTAGTGATCAAAGGTTATCGTCAGAAGCATGGCATTGACTACCATGATACATTTGCTGCCGTCTCTCGCATGGATTCGGTCCGCTGTATTGTTGCTAGTACTATACTGAAAGTGTGGAAACTCCACCAATTTGATGCAGTCACCGCTTTCCTACATGGAGACATTGACACAGAAATTTATATGGAACTCCCAGAAGGTTTCAAGAAAGAGGGATATGTGTGTCGACTACAACGCTCTCTCTATGGCCTAAAGCAAGCCCCTCGAATTTGGTACCGCTGCTTTCAACGGGTGCTGCAATCAAATGGCTTTACCATGGCACAATCTGACAACTGTGTGTTCTACAAGGACAACTGTGTAGCCTGCGTCTACGTGGATGACTTCCTTGTCGCGGGCGCGACGACCAAAGAGATCGATAATGTCCGGAAAGCTCTTGGATCGGAGTTCAAACTGAACGACTTGGGAACCCCGCTTTCCTTTCTTGGAATCCAATTCAACTTTCACAATGATAGATCTATCTCTATCCATCCACATCAGTACATCCAGAAAATTCTCTCTGACTTTTGCATGGAGGGCTGTCAGCCGAAGAGCACGCCTATGAGTCTTAAAGCACTGCTGAATCCACGACCAGACGAAGGATATCTTGACGATAATGCAAAAGGGTGTTACTGCTCTGCGGTTGGTGCACTAATGTATCTAATGGTCGGAACCCGACCAGATATTGCTTTTGTGCTTGGGACGTTGAGTCGTTTCACATCCCGTCCACAATTGCACCATCAAGCAGAGCTACAACGCTTTTTGAGATATCTCAAAGCCACTCAAACATACCAGATCACCTACCGGACGGGACAACTGATCGGTTACACTGACGCCGATTTCGGTGGGTCTGTGGTTACGGATGGTGCCTACTCCACGTCTGGATATATATTTCAACTAGCAGGAGCACCAATATCCTGGTCCTCCAAAAGACAGAGGGAAATCGCCACATCTACTACTCACGCTGAATACATTGGTCAATACAATGCCATTCTCTATCTACTGTGGCTTCGGACGTTCCTTGCCGAAACCAAGCTATTTCAGTGATATTGGGTCCTTCCTACTGACTCGCGACCCGACCCGACCCTCAGGGTCATAAGATTTCGTCAGGGTCACGCTGACTACGACCCTGACTACCCTGAATTGCATAAATTTTCACGCCTTCTCTAATTAGTATGGATAAAACTGCTAACACATACTCATAAATTAACTAACTAACTATGGCAACTGTGCCCCGAGCTGGATAGTTGGATAGATCACAATGAGCAGAGTTTTCCCGCTTCTCTACCCCTATAAATACAGACATGATAGCTAGTCAGAATACCATCGTTTTCATCATTGTCAAATCTGACTACCTGGTAGGATTACTAGTGGATACGCCTATTTCATCTTCCAACAACATCATTTAAAATTCTAAGGACGAAATTTGAATTCAAGATTGGAAAAATAATTTTTAATAAAGCGAAATTTGGATTAAAATTATATGAGTACGCAATAACAAAATGTGAAGATAGATCTGTGAATTCACTCGGATGATATCACCAGCAAATAAGAGTCTTTATAAAGATCCAGTATGAAGCATAGCAGAATCCACGAAGCAACATTCTCACGGAACGGATCTCCTATTATCCATCATATTCCAAATCCGAGGACTTCCTATATTAGACAAAACTTGGCATAATCCGGTAAGAAGTTATTACAGCGTCCAACCTATTCAAGTAGTCTAGCTCATAGTTAACAGCAAGGTCGTCCTGGACCCATATCTGCTGGAGAATGTTTGGTAGTCCCTGCAAGCTCCTCAAACTCGAGGTCTTTATTGCTCTTTCAATATGCTCGAGAATTCTCATTCTCCGCTCATCTGTCCGAGCCTCGCATCCAATAATCAGCAGTGGAAAGGCCGGATTGAAGGCCTCCAGGTCGTCGAGACGTAAATACGCCCTCTCAACCATTGCGTCAATTTGAGGGGAGGTTCCTGAAAAGTTCCGCGAAGCTCTCGTAAGGTAAATTAGAGAAGCTAGTTTGAAAAGCTCTATTGTAGCCACCCAGGCTGTGCTCAGGCCAGACATGGTATCCGATATACCTTCTGGTGCCAACGGGACAATATTAGTTATCCTGCTTTCGAGGCAACGCAAGGAACTTTCGTATTCGTCGTTGTGGTATAGTAAGTCTGTCGGTTGTCGAATCATCTCGAACATGAAATACAAATATCGAAGAATTTCATGTGAGCAGTACGACACATCTTTAACCTATCTCATGTTAGATAAATGACGGTTCAGACATGAATTTTAATTCTTTGGCCTAACCTTTCGTGACTGGCAAGTACCCTGGTCCACAGGTACAGAATTTTTGATTCCTTTAATAGGCTCTTCATTTATATACCAGTGTCGGATGCTGAACCGGCTCATGACCACATGATACTCTACCCAGCCTAGAAGTCCGGAAAATTCGCGTTGCAAATATTGGCTGTCAATGCCTGCGTTGTCGATTAAACGTTTAGCTTCGCTCAAATGACCTAGAATGCAAAATCCAGTTTAGCAATGTCTTTGAAGAATCAGGCCGCCTATTTCATAACAAGGCAGCACAAGAACTAACACAGTAGACCGGATAAATAGTTCTAGGCTAAGCAAGTAGAAATAAATAGACCACACATCACTTACAGAACCACAGGGATACTGCATTTGGCATTCCGAGCATCTTCAGCGTTGGTAAGTGTTTGTTCAAAAAAGACATAGACCCAAGCTCGAACATACCTCAAGGTGGCACAGTATCATATTAGCCGCAATATGTTGAACTACCGTGAGACTTTCAACACAGGGAGTGCAAGATGTGACCAGTGCATGGAGAGCCCGCGCTTTGAACCGAAAAACATCTGCTTGCAGACCATGCCGGTGGAACATCGAGAGCGCCAAAGCCGATTGTAGCACAGCCATAGAAGACGGTGAACTATCTAAAAGAGCTAGACGCACCAAAAGACTCATGAATTTGTTCTCGTCAGGTTCGAAAATAGCCAGCGTGGAGGACGCAGTATATATAACTGCAAGTATTAGCTTGGTCAAATTCTACAAAATACTAGTATTATACTTACAGTGGTCAAGAAGTTCTCTTTCCTTATAACCTAGGTTGATTGGGAGCCATGATAGCGCCATCGGCGGATCGAGTCTTTGAAAGGCAAATCCCTCATGGCTACCAAGTCCTATTTCTGGAGCATTAGTTGGGTGATAGGCAAATTCCGTGAGAGAGTCAACCTTGATTCATCCGTAGGTAATGGTGGAGCTGGATATCCCACGATGTCGCATTTACAAAGCTCGTCTGGGAGACACTTTTTGCCGTCCCAAATCCATCCTGAATGGAATGGGTCAAGCTCCGCTTCGTGTTGGTAGCGTTTGGCCACGACAGCCGCAACCCATACTGACATGGTATATTGGCCTTGGCGCACCTGGAACAACGTGGGCGTGCGCGGTTGCAAACGGCTCTGGAGTCTGTAGCGCTTGAGTAGGTAGGGCACTCACTCAAACGACAGGGGACAGGGGAAAGTACCTCTGCAAGCCCAGCACTCATTCGCATGCATTGTGGACCGATTCCTTGACTGCGTAGGCTGACAGAAATTATTAAGCATCAACAAAAAAGTTGCCATGTTTTCTCTCTTAAATGCGCTGCACCGTGGAGAGCATTCCTGATTATTAATGCTCACTTATCTCTTCGCTTTGAGAAAACCGGCAACTTTTCTGTGTCTTGGCAATTTAAAGTGGACCCTCGCTTTAGACATAGCCAGAGTTTAGTCCAGAACCTTAAATGAACACACTACAGGATTATAAATCACAAGTTATACAAGGCCGAGGCCTCCAGCGAGCCCTCCATTCCTGGTCCCAAAGAGTGGACGCCACCGAATAGCTCAATAATGGGGTCGGACACGCCTCGTGCTACCGTGGAGGATCTTAAGCATCTTTTTGATGTGCTTGAAAAGGCGTTGTCCGATTTTACCATGAGTGATGCGGGAGGTGAGAGGGCCACAGAGCCCAGGTCCGGAAACTGCAACCCTCCAAATAAATGTCAGGCCCTCACCGCTCTCGCTGGTGAGGGCCTTCCACAGTCTAATCAAATTTCAGACTAATGATAAGTTTTCCCCTACCAACCAACATTTGATGCTATTTACAGCGCCATCCCCTGTCTGTCTATACAATAAAGTGGCTGGCCGTCATCTCCATTCACCCAACTAAGCTCCCTCTCTCGTCTCCGATTTTCCTGCTCCCTAATTTGGTCCTGGCGAGCCCATTCATCCCGCTGCTGTTGCGCCTCCCGCGCCCACTTCCGAGTTTGTTTGGCTGCCTCTGCAATATCCCTTGACTTGATCATGGTATTGGAGTCTCTAACAGCAAGAACACCCCCTTTACAAACCTGGCGCCTAGATTTAGGGGTATTGGCCTGCTGCTGGTTGTTAAATACCCCGATGAGCCCGGCAGATGCCTGGGTTCAATCAATAGTTGTCGTGGAAAAGTGGAGAGATTTATTACAGTGACATGGGATTGGTCCATGACCAGCCCATATTTCCTATGTGTTTGTATGTAATATGCGGGTAACACCTCGACATCGGTATTGTCACTTGAATACTGGGTTACACCGCCAGGGGACAGCTCAACCTGCCCCTTTTCCCATTCGTTTGAATAGTTTCCTTCTTTAATCAATCAATCACTCTTTTCTGATGGTTCCGGTAGTTCTCATTCGTCCATATGCATACTAGTCTATACCGATTCAGCTCGCTTTGACAATAGTTCATTTGCCCGATGTAGCTTGCATTAGATACAGCCGCTATGCGGGAGTACTGTCAGGCCTGCCTGACAGCCGAAAAAATGACTCCCAGAGCCCAAAGTAGTGGTCAGAGTGTCTGGTTTGGACCAGAGAACATGACCACAGTAGAATAAAGTAATGACAAAAGGAAAAACAAATGGAGAGGGCTGACCGCCTTCCCCCATACCCCCACGGTCCAACTGCCCGCCTTTAACTGCCCACATGTCCTCACTGCACCAATTATCCTCTTTGCACCAGCGGTCTCTCAACTGCCTCCTGCTTTCCACCAGCTTCCCCGAATCACGCCGCTAGGCTGTCATCGACGCGACGCGCCCACACAAACCATCCCCACCGGGCCATTCCCTCGACTGCAGCGGCCGCTTTCTGTGATCATCTGGATGGCAAGGGGGCGAGATCAACCAGGAATACACGCCCCATCATACTCCCACCGTCTCACTGCGCTATGGGATAATCCATGTTTCGTCCCCTTTCTCGACCCTCGTGGCGACAGAATCCACTGTCTGAAAATGTTCCAAGAGACCTGAGTCAATCATTAATCTGGCCACAGCCGGGGCTGCGACCTTTTGTCGGAGCAGTTCGTCGTGTCCGATGTTCATCGACACGACTTGAATGCGCGTTTGCCCAGCACGGGCCATATCCCTGCTAATCCAATGCTCTTCCATCGATAACGGTCTAGTTCCTGCGTTTCGGGGGCTCAAAAGGCCCTTCTTCGGTACAAACCAGCAGAACCCCGGTGGGTCCGGCCCTGATGTTTCGGAGTATAGTAACTGGAACATCACTATGGCTGGCTGGTGTGTTGTTTTGTTTCTGCCGTTCCTCCACGGCTCTTGCACCTCGACCTGCGGGAATGAGGCCATCACATCCCACGACTTGAGCACATTGTATTGGAGGAGTTCGAACGATTTCATTGTTGATTTTGCTGGATCTCGTTTTCACGCTCTTCGTCGCTGTCAGAAGAGGAACTGCCGCCGTAGTCCTCATAGTTTCCTGAGTCGTCATTTAATTGGTGTGGGTCGCGTGTAATGAACATTGGCGATGATCTCGGCACCGGTGTTGGGGCTGTGGATTGCGATATTTCAGCCTTAGAATCTTTGACCGGAATTCCGGACTAGAGGGGTCTATTTCAGGGGTGATCCGGTCGTTGATCGTAGTAAATTTGTTGGTAAGCGAAGATAAGGATGGCATTTCTTCTCCGGCCTGAAAGGTCGGCAGTTGGGACCAGAAGGCCTCGTCCGGCTGCTCGCAATTCCCTGCCCCTAGCAAAGTTGGGGGTGCCTTTAGCAATTCCCCTGTGCCAGAATCCAGGCGCTCGGGTATAGATTAATTGGAAGACTCGCTTGATTACTAATTCATTTTGCCGGGTTGTCTACTCAGACAGATAATCTCCTTGTCTAGCCGTTTCATATTGGAGGTGGTACTCAGATATAAAATTTGCGACCCCTTCTAGAGCCCAGGCGAGATTGCTAGTCGACCGGCATATTGCGCAAACATATCAGGAACCATGGGATTAAAACATCGCATTTTTAGAATCAATTACCCAGTACAATATTAAAAATGGAATTAAATCAGTTTGAGCAACTCACCAACGAGGTGATCAACCATTACGATTCTCAAAACCGTGATGAAGCCGCACTTTGACCTGACAGCTCACCGATCGAAGATACACGACCAAGAAAGCATTTGATACTTCCTGCCTTGAAAAATCCTTCACCACTTCTCCACATACGGCCGCAGGTCCATCTCAAACGCAAAGGTCGTCCGCGGCTGCGTATGCAGATGCCAGTACGAGTTCGCAATCTAGAGCACGTCCATCAGCTTGCTAGCCAAACCAATTGTAAAGTAGCTTCAACTTACAGCGTCAGGACTCAGCATAGCATCCTCATGGTCAAATGTCCAGCCTTTTGTGCGCGGGATTTCGATAACCCCATCGATGATGGCGTGAGACACATGCACGCCCTGCGGTCCAAACTCGCGGGCGAGTGACTGCGCCAGGGCGCGCAATGCGAACTTGGTGGAGGCAAAGGCTGCGCACTCCGCAGACCCTTTCATGCTGGCCGTCGCGCCGGTGAAGATCAAGGTTGGCGGATGCGGTGATGTATCTCTTGCCTTGAGGAGGAGTGGCAGAGTCCCCTGGGCGAAATTGAAGCCGCCCTTTCTGTAGATACGGTCAGTTTAAGATTCGATTTTAATCTTCGACACGAACCAAAATGGGACGAAGTAGATAGAAGGAGGGGAAATGTACGCCTGCGAAGCAAGAGCACCCGAATAATCCTCCTCTGTCAGCTCCAGGAACTGCTTCCGCACAAACCCGCCGCCAGAATTAAATATTGCCGCCGCAAGAGCAGAACCTGAGTACTGGGTTGTGATCTGGTCAAAAGCGGACTTGACGCTGTTCGAATCGGCGAGGTCGGTGCTGATGCCCACGGCCTGGCCGCCACCAGAGTTGATTTCCTTGACGACGGTCTCATAGCTGGCCGGGTTCCGGGCCAGAAGAACCACAGAGTAGGCTTTGGCAAACCGTCTGGCGATGGAGGAGCCCTGTGCTGTTGTTAGGGTAAGGGATGAAGCCCGAGACAACAATGAACGCACCGTTCCGGGACCGACGCCGGCAATGATTGCGAATGTCTTGGAGGCCATATTTTGTGTTTTAGAGTTGCAGATGAAGAGAGTAGTCTTGAGTCAAGTTTCGAGTTTTAAGTTGAGCTGCCGAACTGGGCGATTATAAATCGTCTATTTCGGTCGCGTGAAATCGCCGACGCTTAGAAATGCGAGGATCTTCCGGGGGATTGTTCGTTCGAGTCCAGGATCCTTGGGATCCAGGAACTTAGAATGTCTTTCCCTCGCCCCATTCCGCCTATATGCGCAGGGCATTTGAGCAGTGCTCGTCACAGGGTATCCCCCTAGCGCTACGAGACCTGTGGCTAGAGGGGCCTGTAGTTTTCCATACCCTCCTCGTATTCGTAGCATTCTTTGCCAGCTCAAGCTGGCTGTCTGGGGGGACTAGGTGAACTAGGAGTCTAATGGCCACGCTAGTCAGAGCTAGTCAGGTTGAAGCGTTTTGTGGTATATGTTATGTCGGTGGCGGGAACCCAACCCGCGACTCCCAGTTTTATGGCAAAACCTCAGCAAAATCCCTCGCCTGGGAGCCTACTCGGCGTGCGTACCACAGCACAGCCGCTACCGACCCTAACCAATCGTAGGCATAGCGGCACGACCTATTATCGATAGTCGCAGGCGTATCGGCGCGACTGGTTGTCGACAAGGTAGCAGTATGGTGCTAGCATATTCTTCACATTCGGGCAGTACGGTGCCAGCGTGTCTTTCGTAGGCGTCTCAGCGCGATCTGTTGCCGATAGTCGTAGGCATAGCGGCGCGACTAGTTGTCGGGCAGGCGGGCAGTATGATGCCAGCATATTCTTCGCATTCGGCTGTACGGTGCCAGCTCGTCTCTCTCGCTGCTATATCGGCGAGGCTGGTTGTCGGCGGGTGGGCAGTATGGTGCTCGCATGTCTCTCGCAGGCACATCGGCACGAGTATAGAAGTCAAATGCGTTGCAGGCAAATTCGTTGGATAGCACGATGGGGCCAGGGAAACCCAGCTATCTTCTCGTCTCATAGCCTGGAATCAACAAGGGATAGGCGCGTTGCTGACGCGCCTAGTCGGGGACACACTCCAGGGACACACGCCCACAGGCTGCATCCCCCGTTAGATGGTAGCACGATGACAGCGCGTCATGGTGTGTAACAATCCTAGCGAGATAAGAGGAAGCAGGAACCTTAGCAAGTCCTTGTCATCGCGCATTTCGTGGAGTCGGGCGGGCGTGGACGCGTCGGGAGACCAATTCAACGTGTCCACAAAACCACTGCGACCGGGGGATTCTTGGTTTCCTCATCAAAAGTCGAGTACTGACACCGGACACCACTAGAAGTTGAGAATCCATCGTCCTGAGAGCTGGCAGCAGTGCTCTCATCCAGCGTGCTCGCTGGAGGCATAGCGCCGAAGTGCTTCATCTTCTTCTATAGATCAGGATCTTCTGCAGGGGTCCAGGGATCCCAACGAATTAAGATCAATTGCGACCGAAGTAGACAGGCTACTTCATCCATGGATGACGACATACGATACGCCAAAGTGATCGCATTATCTAGTTATTTACTTTCGTACAGGGATACTGCCAAGACTAAATGCCAGGTTAGAGTAGCCGTAACAGGTATAACATTACGCAAAAAGGAGTCCGAGATTGTATCGAAGAGAACAAAGTTGTGAAACTGATTTCGAGCGGACCGGTATCTGCTCCGAGCACATGGTATTCCGCAAGCCAACAAAACAGAAACCATTTGATGAAGACATGGAAAACAGAGCCAATTCCAAAAAAGACACTAAGTCTCAAAAGGCATTCCCCATTTCAAGGAAGCAAGCATCAAGTAGCTGGGAAGTGCCTGTATCCTACGTCCTTTACAAAAGTCTGTTGCCAAGGACCCTGAGACTTGTGCTCGGCGAGCTCGACATAGAACTTTCCATGTGCCTCGCCACTGATCTTAGAGTATGCAGGAGTCCCATCAGCCTTCCGCTCATCGGCATAATAGAATCTGTGTTTCGTCAGTTTCAAAACTGCCGGAGGGAGGGAAGGAAACGCATACTTGAAGCCTTTATCAGGGTATGCGGCAGCGGCAGAGCGGATGATGTGGGCCGTTGCAGATTTGCCCACACCACCATCCAGAAGACTTGCAATTGTGGTCTCGTTGAGTATATTGCCAGTGTAGATGAATGTCTTGGACCTATGGTCAGGGAGTCTGTCGAAGCTTAAAGCCGCCTGTTGTGCAGCGACAAACGCACTAGTCGTGTTGACGTGTAAGTCTCGACTAAAGTCAGCCAAGGGAATAGACAAGGGGTCCGCTGGATTGTTCGGAGCGCCGGCAGATGCTTCACGGGTGTCAGTGGGTTTTCGATAAAGGGCTTCCATGAGGAACATGCTCACCATTGTAAACAACAACACTTGGCAGACCGAGCGATGCTTTGACTTTCGAAAAGATGCCCTTCACGGAATGAGGATCCGATAGGTCGGCGGAAATGTGGACCTGGTCTGTATTGCTGGCTTCTTCCTTAAGGCTTCTAGATGCAAGGGCAACTTTGTAGCCCTTTGCGGCAAAAGCCTGAGCCACATGCTGGCCGATATTGGGTCCCGAGCCGAGAATGAGAATAACCGGAGGTGTACTAGCCATATTTGAGTTTGTATGAATTGATGAGAAACAACGACCATGAGGAAGACATATAAGGCTTATTAGATTGGCTTCAATGATCAAATAGCAGTTCCATCTGTATTATCAATCCGCGTGTTTGCTAGTTTTGCTCCGTTTGCTTGAACTTTATCATAACCTCCCTTTGAGCTGACCCACACCGCTCTGCGGGTGGGTCACCGAGCAAGTTTGTTTTGTTTGCATCCTAGTTTGTGCTGTTTGTGTTGATAACTAAGGGCCAATCAACGTCGATCTGGGCGGGTTTGGCTTTGTTTTGCATCATAGTTTGTGCTGTTTGTATCGATGACTAAAGACCAATCAACGCCCCAAGGTCCAAGCGGGTTGCTGCATAATGAAATCATAAGAGAATTCAATATCTAGCTTACCAAGCGTTCGGCTTTCTTGGGTGCCGAACTGAATAATTCATGTCCTGATGCTCCCGCCATTGAAGTATACCCGCCTCCAAAAGTCAGGGGAGCGGTGAGAGCCTTCACAGTCTAATCAAATTTCAGTCTAATCATAATTTTTCCCTACCTATCAACTTTTGATACAATTCAGAGCGCCATCCGGGAGGGAATGTCAGGCACAGAGATGACTTAGTCGCTTTCTGATTCGCCTAGATTTCGTTGGCGTTAAACGCCACGCCTGATTAGTATTTAACGACAAACGATGATTTGATGAATCTCAGGTCTAAATATCTAGGGGAAGTCCACTCATGCCGACGTTTTTACGTATTCCGCCGATTCTAGTAGTGAATACGAACATACCTTGTCATTATAAGCTTGTCAATATAATGGATACTAATAGATTGGGTGTGGGAAAACTAGCTTATCTTGTAATAAGCTAGGTCATAGAGCTATCAAGTCTATTGCTTAAGACGGAGTCAAAAGTGCGCGTTTTAGCTCTAGCCCGTAGAAAGGTACTAGAGCCAGAGTCGGCTAGGATAAGCGAAACTAAAAGTTAATAATCTATGCTTGATTCTAACTAGAACTATAGGCTTGAGGTAGGTAAGCGGGATGCAGGGCCCCTTATCAGGGTGCAGGTTCAGACAGAACAGTTATATTAGGAGTTGACGAAACAGGCAGGCTATAGTCAGGTCCGACTCAGGCTATCTTCAGGTATGTAGACAAGACGTAGCTCGAAGAGCTACAAACAGGGCACTCCAATGGTTTTGGGGATGTTATTAGGCATTGTGAATCTAGAAATATGTATGTGTTAGGCGAATATATTTTAGCAATATACTAACGAGCGAATTTTAGAAAATACTTAGATGGCGCTTACAATCGAACGAGATGATGGGATTGAGCCCTGAATTCTACCCATAGGGTATCTCCTTAAGCGATCTATTGCTACTACTCGTCGTTGCTACTAAATCTTACTATAGCCCGCCTGGTCGGCGGTCGCACCCCATCAAAAAACTTACCAACTTTGAATCCCTAGAACTAGTGGAGTTCATCGCTTGAGAATAGGATTTCATCTGCGACTGGCTCGTATAGCTCTACTTAGGGGCTTAGAGGAGGAAGTAGTTGCTGAAGTTCAGTGGGAATAGTTAGTTCCCTAGAGGAAAATAGCTAGGCAGAGACGGGTCGATATTAGTAGATATAGGCTCGATAGTAGTACTAATCAAATTGTTTATTACACTGCGCACTCTGGGTAGCTTATCGCTTTATACGCCGTTGTTCTGTATCGTGGATCTGCTTTTCTTCTATGGAGCTGTGTTTCCGCGGTCGGCCCCGTTTCGTTCTAAGGCTTGATGGTAGAGGAATGGAGGACCGTATCGCCTAAGTAGGTAGCTAGATTAACTCCGTATAATAAGGAGAGGTCTACTAGGTAGGAAAGGTTAGGTCGATTTAAGAATTGAATAGAATTGTGGTGATTCTAGTCAGTTGTTTTGAATCACGTCTATGGGGTGCTAATTCAGGGCTAGACGTTATCAAAAGGGGTTTCGTGTCGACCACGAAAATGCGAAAGTCCCTCACAACACAACAATAAGCCAACTTCGACAGGTTATAACTCAACAGCAATACATATTTTGAAAAACCTGGTTGAAGATTTGGAATCAGTATATCTCATTGCCATATAGTAGTGCTTTTTTGGTTCAAAAATGCTGATGTGCCTATTGGTCGAAGTCGGATTTTTCCTAATGGTAACTCTAAAGATCACAAATCCCATCGGCAAGGCTCTGTCTGTAAGGGATCCACCCCTTCTGGCCAAAAAACTCTTCCAAAAGCTTTTCTGCTTTAGCAGCTGGTGCGACGTCCGTGAGATCTCGGCCTTCGTTTGGATTCGGATCATCGAAATGATGGTCAGGTCGAAGTTCCCGGAGAGTCGAGATAATGTCAGTCATGTTCAGCGGACCTGCAAATGCAAATATCCGCCGCGATCGGACGTTAGGTGCAAGCAGAGCAATAGCGTGTAGGCGGGCAGTATCGGTAACATCAACGTACTGTTCTAATACATTAAAGCAATTTAGCATTTCACTTATCCCGCCTCCTTCAACTAACCATCGGGGGCATGGAAACAACTCACGAGGTACGAAAAAGTCAAATATGCTTTTATCGTCTTTCAAAATCCCTCGAACCATTCCCATGGACGATCCTCCAAATTTCTCGTGAAGAATTTCTCCTACCTGAAAACCAATAATTGTATAAGCATTGAATCTAGGGGCGGAGTGAAATCGAGACATACGTTGAAGCTCGGAAGGACCGTATTGAATGTAAAACGAGGATTGTGCCCTCTAGTCCATTTCCAAGCCATTTGTTCACTAAGAGTCTTAGAAGCTGCATAAATTGTGATTGCTTTCTCGGTAGGCTTCGTAATGGGATCACATGCGGCCTTTACGGCAGCCTCATTCCAAGTATCTGCAAGGAAATGTTAAATCCCTAGCTCTTCTCGCCCAAATCGCTAGCATGAATATGCGAGGATGGGCTAACCTTCATTAATTCTGAACCCTTTCTGGTTTGTAACAGGGATTAAAGCAGCTGCAGAGGATGATGTCAAGACGAATCTCTTAACAGAGGGGTGTCTAGATGCAGCCTCTAGGACATTTTCAACTGCTCGTACGACCCAAGGAATGACAGTATCGGGATCATTACTGAACGAAACATCAGAAGCCTAGTCGAGTATCACATTAGTTAAATATGCAACTGAATGGAACCGAACAGTTTTTCACGTTCTCTCAGCAGATTGAGGAGAAAGCTTAAGTTACAAACATACCGTGTGCACTACCCCGGCTATGCCATCCATGCAATTATCTAGCATCTCAGGGTTTTCAAAATCAGGAAGCACAAAGGTTTCAAAGACGCCTCGACCGAATTTATTCTCGAAGAAGGCGTCAAGCCATGGCTTTGCCGTCCTAACCGTTCCTCGCAGTCGATATTCAAGCTGTAGCAAGGTGTTGATAACATGAGAGGCAATAAAACCGTTGGCTCCCGTGACAAGGATGCAGGATCCCGTAGGAAGGCCAGTAAGACTCGACATGTTGAGTGGGCAGTGGTAATTTCTTTGACGAAGGCGTGGTTCGTACACGTTGATATTACACCATGCGTCTTTGGCAAAATGCACGACTTAATAACCTGTGAAATATGTCGCAATTGACTGTTTTATATCCAAAAGGCAACTTTATTGTGTTCTTGTTAACTTCATCACATAATCCAATGATCATTTAGTTCCGTATCTGACGTTATAAGTCGCCGACTGCTAGATCTCATTTTAGAGAATGCTGACCAGGTTCGGAGCTTCGGCCTTCCGAAACTTTGCCATTCGGAGAAATGAGACACGCACTCGTACATCCACATTTAAGGCGGGGTTTGATTATCAGCTACTAATTTCATGCCGAAAAATAGACTTTTTTCGACAAATCAGAACGTTCCAGTCTGAGCTTTGGATTGATGGAAACAAATTTTGCACTATTTGCATCATTTGCACTAGCCGCGGAAGTCAAAATGAAATTTCCAGATTTCGACATTCTGATATTTGGCCACTTCGAATCAGATATGAAATGGCGTTTCAAATCTTGAAATTGAACTACTCCAAAAATGGTAGAAATATCACGTGCTAACAGATTAGGGCACCTTATGGCGGAAGGGGTGACATTGAGCTCAGCTGTTATCTACACGCGGCCGACGAGCTGGTTGCTCCCGATGATCTGCAACTCCTTGATGTCATGCAGATATACGGTTTGTCCTTGTACGTATAGCATGAGCCGAGCCTGGGTTTGGTGAGGTATTGGAGGAGTTGAGGGAGGCCCTGAAGTTGAGTTCTGTTGTAACACAGAGGCAGAGTGCCAGAGTGCTTGTATTCTTTACACAAGAAAATTGCGGGTCGATATAGCATCCAGCCTTCAGATTGATTTCCTATTAATTCTAGTACTTCCGTGGAAAAGAGGAATAGATTCCGGTACATATGATAGATCACAACAAGTTCAACACGAGGCGAGCCTCGAATTCGAGGCAGAAAAGAGTGCACGATTGCGTTGGTCCTGAAGCTGAAGTCAATGCGGAATATAACGCTGAAATCTGCGCAGGAGTCGGGTGTGATTTGGCTTTGGGTCTGGTTCGGGATCTTATGCTGGATTTGGTGCTGGATCTAGTGCGGGATTCGATTCCGATCCTGCAACAGGACTTGATGCAGGACTAGATGTAGGAATTGGATGATGTATATCGCCTCCTAATAGATGGTTCTGCACCTGTTTTCGCTGCAAAACCCCATCCTATTGGGGGTTCCTGGGATGAGGGTGGGTCCAGTAGACTTAGGGTTTCTTAACTATCCGTGCCTGGGAAGCGCTTTGGGTGGGCAGAAAGGCACGGATATGGGGAGCCGTTCCCACATACCAGTAGACAAAGTCCCCCCATCCCAGTAAGCATTTTGATATCGAATGAAGCCCAAATTCTCGCCCATGATAGAGCGGAATTTCCTCTATCCCTCAGTAGAATTTCAGGGCCTGATTGCATCTGAAAGTAGTGTTTGCAGGGATTACAAGTGAGGTAGTTTTTTGGATAGGGTGCGACCGGGTAGGGTCTGTTTCTGCTTTATCGACTCCAAGCGGGCAACCGCTGTGAGAGATTTCGGGCTCGAAAATTCAGGGGAAGGATTCAGGGGTTTCCAGTAGTACACAGGTTAGTTTTTAGCACCATTTGAGCAACTCCCACTACGACGCATAGTGACCATTGCTAGAAGATCCACCACGATAACTAAGGTATATATCCACATTGACCATGGCACAGCATTACAGTGCCCACCATTATTTCCACCACAACACCGAGTATCATCTCGCGATTTGCAAACGATGTGAGCACGCCGTCAAGCCCCCCGAGATCATCCGCCATCTATCCCAGCGGAAGGGCCATGGCGTCCCTATGCGCGTTGCCCAGAGGGTATGCAATATGATCCACGACGCATGGCCCGATGTGGTAGACGAGCCCAGTATATTCCCCACGCACGTTAAGCAGCCCATTCCCGCGCTGGCTATCCATAAGGGTGGGATCAAATGTCGGTCTTGCGCGTATGTTTGTCGCACAACTGAGAGTATCCGGAAGCATTGGCGGCTAGAGCATCAGTTCTCCGTATACAACCATAGTCGGAAGCCGCGCCCATCCGAAGTCCAAGCTGGTCAAGAAAAACGCGAGCATGCGATGCAGCGTGTGGTTTGCCAGCGAATTTTCCCATACGGGCTAGGCTCGCATTATATTCACATCCGCCAGCCCGGTCCCGACTGTGAGCCAGCGCCGCCTCCCCCGCGCGCGGATATAGTCGACGAGCTTATACAGCAGCTCGAACAGACATATATCGATTCCCAGCCACGCCGCCAAACGATCCAGGCTGCCCGCTCGACGAGGCGAACCCGTGGCTCCGGCGGACGCAGTGGGCCACATATTTACAAGTGACGCCAGAGGAGGATTTGCCACATTTACTGGCGTCGTTCAAGACCCCCCCACCCCCAGGACGCCCAGGGCCCAGAAGGGGCGATGCGCGCTATCTGGGAAGCCATGGATGGCGTCGCGCGGATCAGCCAGGGGATTACGAAGCAGACTAGTCATCTAATCCGTATTGAGGCCGCGCGGACGGAGAAAGACCAAAGCCCGCACCAGCCATTATAGGCGTACATGGACGAGGAGCAGATCAAGCGCCATGTAGAGCCATGGCAGCAGATCTTGATGTTTTTCGCTCGCACTCAGGTCGAGCATGATTGGCAGAGCCCCCCCGTATCGATTCACCCCCCCCCCCCCCCCACCCAAGCAACGGACATGGCAGGCGTTATGGCGGTATGCCCAGGATACGCGTGGGAGCCCCGACCCGTTTGACAGCCAGGGCCAGCATCAGGGCCAGCATCAGGGCCAGCACCAGGAGGATAGCAGCGACGATCCATACCAGATGACTGCGATCCAGGCCGCACGCATGGATTTTTGCATCGAACTATTGAACCAGCGGATTAGCGCGGAAGAGTACGAATGTGCATTAGTGGCATTAGCCGTGCTGGGCCGGGGCGGCGATCGATGGCAGGACGCCGATAGCTATCCCCCAATTTTGTCCAAGATGATCAAGATCAGCCGATTCATGGTATTGCACAAAGCGTTGCGTTTGGACCCAAATGCCGACCAGATTTTACCATACATGCGCGACCGTCATCAAGTGGGTAAGTAAGAATGGTGATTATGGCTTGATGGCAGGCTTCATTGACTAACCGATTATTAGGTACATGGTCGACAGAAAGCCCAATGGACGATCCCGAATATATATATTCTGGCCAGCACGACGAGGGGTACGACAGCGATCGCAGCACACGAGCACCATCGAGTAGCCCAGCGTTTGGACCCACCCATTGCCCGCCAGAGCCCATGCAGTTCAGTCAGCAGCGGCGACAGAAAGCGCGGCCATTTCGCGAATGGTTACGAGTGTTGACAGATACATTCATAGTGCGCGGGACGCATACTCCCATGCGGTGGATGCTCGATTTGCATACGTACGGGCCACGGATCCATTACAGTAGTACTGCGACGGGCCACATGAGCTGGCTCGGGCAGGACGAATTGCTATACAAGGAAGTCCATTTCACCATGGGCGACTTCCGTGGCTATATCCATGGGTTAGTTAGCTCCTTGCGCCAGCTCATGCACCAAGAGCTATTGATGTGCGACTTCGCCAGCCCAGCCAGCCTAGCCAGCCTAGCCAGCCCAACGAGCCCAACAAGCCCACCAACGATCCCGTGGGCGCAGCTTATGGATGACCCGACGCAGGCAAAGCCCGGCTAGTGCTTTTTAGACGAGAGTCGCACGCGGTGGCCCGTTCAGGGGGCCCAATGGCTCATAAGCCGGATCCAGCGCGAGCCACGATTACAGCAGCGATTTGTCAACGGCCCCGAGCGTCAGTTCCGCATGCGTGCCATTGATCAATACATGCAGAGCGTGGTCCAGTTCCGTGAGAAACTTAGTGTCTGTATCCATATGACCGTTGGCCAGCCCAGCCGCGCACCTGAGCTACTCAGCATCCGCCATCGTAATACAGAAGGGGGGCATCGCAATATCTTTCCTGACGACGTGCTTGTCGTTTTCGCCACGGAATACCACAAAGGCTTTTATGCGACGAACGACGCGAAGATCATCCATCGGTATTTGCTGCGCGCCGTTGGGAAGCTCGTGGTATGGTATTTATGGTTGGTTTTACCATTCGTCGAACGATTACAGGCGTACCAGCAGGCGATTCGGGGTATTAATCGGCAGACTATGGAAGCGATGCAATGCCACGCAGCATACATATGGGCGCCGGATCCCCAGACGGGTCGCGAGTGGACGTCGGAGCGATTCCGGGAGGCGTTGAAGCGCAAGACTGCGATTGGGCTGAATGGGTAAGCTAGATTACGTTTTTGACGGCCAGCTCCATAGCAGCTCCATGGCAGCTCCAAGACTAGGTCCACGGCCAGCTTGGTGGCCAGCTTGACGGCTAGATCGATGGCCAGGTCCATGGCCAGCTTGACAGCCAGCTTGACGGCCAGCTTGGTTGATTAATGAATCGCATGACTAACTACACAATAGGTATACATTGAATTTGCCCGCGTACCGGAATATCGCCATTGGGATCAGCCGGCGGTATTTACGGGTATCCAGCGTTTTCCCCCAGAATCTCCAGGACGATGGCAGTGCTCAGGCGCCAGCTGACGACGACCATGAACCAGAAGACCATATTGCAGATTTACAGGCTGCGCATTCATCCCACGTCGCCGGCATGACTTATGGGCGCGAGATCACCGAACAGGCTGTGACGACGGCGCACCGACGGGAGATGTTTCGATTATCCAGCACGGATTGACATCGGTTTTTAGGGTTCGAGAGCGCGGAGGATGGCTTAGCGAGGTGCTTGGCAAGCGCAAACAGGGCCCATTGGAGGCAGAGGCGGACGAGAATCGACGTCAGCGCCAATGGCAGCTGCACCAGGCCGATATGACAGACGCATTACAGCGGATGACCAACGACGACCAGAGCCAGTTCCGCGGTATACAGGGGCCGGCGATCCAGGCGATCCAGCATGGGGTGAGCCTCGTCGTCGTAGTCATGCCCACGGGCGGGGGGAAGAGCACGTTGTTCATGTTACCCGCATGGGTCAGCGGCGGGTTAACGGTGGTCGTTGTACCACTGATTGCTTTACGTGGAGACTTACAGGCTAGGTGCGCGGGAGCAGGCATATCATGCGTCGAATGGGAGAGCCGGCGGCCACCGGACGAAGCGGCTATTGTGCTAGTGACGCCAGAGTCCGCATTGAGTGAGGATTTCATAACGTTTTTGAATCGACAACAGGTCAGTTACTAAATCGCTTGACGGCCAGCTCCATGGCTAGCTCCATAGCGAGCTTGACGGCCGGCGTCATGGCCAGCTCCATGGATACATGGCTTGATTAATAGCTAATTGATATTAGGTCATAAAACGAATAGACCGCATCGTCATTGATGAATGCCACGTTGTTTTGAACCAGCAGACGGATTTCCGCCCCAAGATGCAGCAGCTCGGACGGTTGATGGTCGCACGCACCCAGATGGTTTTATTGACTGCGATGTTGCCCCCCAGCTTGGAGGGACGATTATGGCAGCGCATGCGATGGTCCCAGGACCAGGTCAGCTTCTTCCGTGGTCGAACCAGCCGGACCAACGCGGCATATCGGATATGGCGGCCAGTAATCGAGCAGGGGGTTCGAGGGGCCCCATCGATGGATCCAAATGGATCAGATCGCGCCATTCATCCGGGGCCGCATCCAACGATCCAGAGGCGGGCGAACGATTATATATGCGCATATAGTAGCGCATGTAACGACGATGGCCGACATACTAGGCTGCGACGCTTATTACCATCAAGCGCTCGACAAGGCAAGCGTTTTGGAGCGGTTTCGCAGCCAGCCCCAAGGGGTGATCGTGGCCACGAGTGCATTAGGGATGGGGTGGATATCCCAGGCATTCGCAGCATCATCCATTTAGGGCGGCCGCGGACATTGCTTGATTACGCGCAGGAGAGCGGACGGGCGGGCCGTGATGGTCAAGCTAGCGAAGCGATCATTATCCAGCCCGAGGGGATCGATACCCCCCCCCTCGTTATGGATGCAGGATACACCGTTGGCCGAGCAGCAGCGGATGATGCGTATATGTCCGCCAATCAATGCCGACGAGTCGTTTTGGACGGGTATTTAGATGGCATCGTCGACGGATACCACCGCAGCCATTGTGGGGACTACAATCATGGTTTGGCTATGCGGGAGGCCCAATGCGATGGATGTGACACAGATTGGGAGGCTATGGAAGAGCACGTAGGCAGCGAAGCCAGCCACCAGGGCGACGGCCATGAAATTGGCCAGCCCCAGCGCCAACGCCAAGGCCAGCTTCAGCACGACGGCCAGGGCCAGGGCCAGCTCCATCATGACGGCCAGCAAGACGGCCAGCACGACGGCCAGCACAAAGTCCAGCGATCGAGCCAGCGACAGAGCCAGCAGTATTGAATCTGAAAGCTTTCAGTCACAGGCGGCATGGAGCCCAAACAATGATCGTATACAGACCATGCCGGCCAGCATACGCTCCAGTGATCGCATAGCTATACCATTTAGCGTCCAGCAGCAGTTCCAGCAGCAGGAAATCGATCGTGCGCGCATGTCGCAGCAGCATCAGCAGGCACGGCAGGAGGAGCTTACGGACGAAGAGTTTTTAATGCAGCAGGCGGGAGAATGGCAGGACCATTGTTGGATTTGTGCGCAGGAAGGCCATGATGCCGAGCACGAATTATACCTTTGTACTAGACCTCTGCAAGGACCGCCAAGATACTTTTCTATGTATAAATACTCATAAAGTGCCTTAAATAGGAGATTGTTTCCTTACAATTCAGTAATTATGCATAATTGTACGTCTTGGCAGTCCTCTTGGCGGGTGCGGTCCTTGACCTCGAGACCAAAACCTCACCATGCAGAGGCCTACAGAGGTCCCAGGACCTCGAGAATTAGTTCATCATAGTTGTAACTTCACGCGCTATCGTTTGATACCTATTTCGTAGGTGAGATGGCGGTGTTGGTTGCGACTGGTGCGAATGCACAGAAATTACCCCCTGACAGGAAAGGACCACCGAAAACCACGGTACCCAGATCGATGGATGACATCGCAGAGGGGGCCCGCCAGGTGTTGAACCACATAGAGAACAATGGCACGGAGGACCGATATGTCACTGGATATATCCGGGCTGTTCGCCAGTACGCGCTCAACGCCCAAAGGGGCGACGTCATGGGGATGGCCAAGGTGCTTGATGCGCTGATCAAGATCAACGCCGACACCGAACGCTTGAACCAGCGAATGACAACCATTGAAGCTTCAACAAGCAACCTATCGAGATCTTTATCCTCCCTTCCTGCCGATTCTGCGGCAGCGTGGCACAACTTCCGCGCCAGAGACTGGCAAGCGGCTTGGCCACGGCTTCGGCGCCCAATACCTGGAGCAATGGCACCTCATCTCCAGGTGTACCGGAAATTGAGCTTCGTGAAGATCGGGAGGTCATTGTGAAAGTTGGAGCAAATCGCGAACAAATCCGAACGCTGTCACCGAAGGAGCTCGTGGAGCGTGCGGAACGACAACGAACGACGGTTGCCCGACAGAAGAACTCCACGGCCCTGGCTGGGGGTGCAAGCTTCGTCGCAGCTCGCAAGTTAACATCAGGAGATGTAGCCATGGTAGCTAATACTGCTGCAGGGGCTGAGCTCTTGCGCAAACACACTGAGTGGTCGAGAGCATTCGGACCGGGCTCGATTGTCCAGGAACCGTCCTGGGGAGTAGTAGCGTACAATATCCCGGTGAGATCGATGAAGCTTACTCCGGAGACGATGGCCGACGTTGCGCGTGAGCTACTCGCACAGAACGACTGGGGCGAAGCTGCCAGGATCCAGTTCCTCGGCTGGCTAACGCGACCGGGTGCACGAGCAGAGGGCTCGATCCTGATCGAGTTCACCAGCCCAGCCGTGGCCAACCGTGCGATCATCACCGGCATCGTGTGGGGGAAGCAAATCCACCACGCTGTGCGCTTCTGCAGAGAAGGGCGGACAAAGTTATGCAGGAAATGCCAAAAACCGGGGCATATCCAATCACACTGTTCCAACGATTTCAAATGTGGTCACTGCGCCGATGGGCACCCGACCTGGGAGTGCCCGTCGACAAAGGGACAAACGATACCTGTCAAATGCTCTAATTGTGGCGGAGGACACCGCCCAACCAGTCAAGACTGTGCGGTGAAGAGGACAGCTATGACAGAGGCGAAACAGGCACTGCTTGATTCCCCTACATATCACCGAGTGCCACTTCAATACCGAAATGCTATGAGGAATGGCAACACAACGACAACCCTGGCCACGTCTGGCCCAACTGAGGGTAACGAGCTGGACATGTCTATACACGCAACGGGAGCACGGCAGGAAGAGGAACAACCTCAGCATCCCCAGCCTGTCACTGTCGACCTGGTGAATTTGGAAATGGAACCACCCCGGGAAATGGTACCACCCATTATGGAGGCACCAAGTGCCGAACCCGGTCAGCATGAGAAGCCCAGAAGAGGTCCGGGCCGACCAAAGGGCTCAAGAACCAGACCCAGAAACCAGGCGCAACCGGCTGCCGACAACACACCCTTAGCGGTAAACCGGATGTCGACACGATCCCAAGCCGCCTCCCAGAAGGCCACCCAGGAACACAACATGTCCAAGAAACGCCGCGTGGGAGAACCAGAGGATACGATGGATGAGCAACCGGATGGTAGCAACTGGTTCGACATCCACCTTCCTCAAACCGACCCTGCTCAGGCCAGCACCCAGCAAGACGACAGGTTTGAACAAGCACTCACCCAGTTCACTAACGATGTCACCACAATCAACGATACCAATACTCTCGAGCCTAGTCTTCAGGGTCTAGACCCGAATAGTCCAGAATACCGAAAACTCATCACTTTGAGACACAACCAGACACACCTGGTCTCAGTCGGATCGTCTCCGCCGGTGTTCACGACCGACGCACCTACAATTGAAGACCCAAATGACGACATATGGCACGAAACCAGCGAGCTCATTGACGATCAACAGCACAATCAATGAAATAGTTTGAATTGCTCCAATACAACGCACACAAATCATGGTCCGTAATGGCCACCTTTCTCAGGGATAAAGCAGTCCTAGAGGCGGACGTCATTGCTGTCCAAGAGCCTTGGCGAAATGAACAACAGCATACAACCCACCAGCCGGCGACTGCAAAGTTCCAGCTGCTGTACCCAGCGATGCAGGACCATATACAAGATTGTGACCCAAACTCTGCCCAGCCAGGGGTATGCCTCTTTGTCTCGAAAAAAGTCGACCCTGGCACCTGGTCGTGCCAACTTGTGTCGCAGGATTATCAGTTATTGAAGCTCTGAAGAGCCAACCGGGGCAGGGATTGGACGGACCTATTCGTACATAATGTGTATAACAGACCAGGCGGTGGCACCCTGGCCCAGCTAAGAGACGAGTTGGCAAAGCGCCCTCTGGCAGAGCATATTGTAGTGGGCGACATGAATGCTCACCACCCAGTCCGGGGAGGGCCTGGAACTAAAATCGACGATGAAGCTGAACAACTGCTACAGATCGCAGATGAACAGGGCCTTGAACTGATCACCGAGGAAGGAAAAGCGACATAGACCAGAAACGATCAATCCTCCTTGATTGACCTTACCTTCATCAGCTCCAGCCTTACCGGCAGAATGATTCTCTGTGGGCGAGCGGACGACATTGAGCATTTATCCGACCACTTCCCTATCAGAACCACGCTTGACATCGGGACGCCGATATTGACGCAGCAGAAAAGGAGGAACTGGAAAGCAACTGATGAGAGAAAGCTCGTCCGAAAGGTCGAAGAAGGGCTACAAGAAGGTGATCTGTCTATGGAAGACAACCGGCAGATCGAAGAGCAATGTCAGAAGCTACTAGGTGTTGTGCAATGCGCAATTGACCTCTCAACCCCGTGGGCAAAGCCGTCGATATAGTCGAACCCGGACTTTGCCGAAGAGTGCAGGGCCGCCGTTAAGGAGGTTCGGGGTCTACGACGTATACACACAAGGACAAAAGACCCCTACGACTGGATGCTGTACTCTAAGGCACGCAACAAGAAGACGCGTTTGGTCAAGAGAGCACTCTCCCGAGCACATCGACGCCGAGTCCAACAAGTCATCGAAGACGGACCCCAGGGCATGTGGCGCCTGGCTAAATAGGCAAGGAACCGTAGCGGGGCCTATGAGAGAGGCATTACTCCCTCGCTGAAGATTCAGGACCCTAGGACACCAGGCGAACTTGCCGAGACAGTCGACTAGAAAGCGGAGGCTTTCCGGGCGGCCTTTTTCCCACAGCTACCACTAGCAGATCTCGCCGACACTGTCCTATTTCGATACCTATAGCCGATTGAACTTCTATCAATTACTACACAAGAGATACAGGAAGCAGTAAGGACAGCGAAGGCAGGAAAAGCGCCAGGAGCTGATGGCATCCCGAACTCCCTCTGGCATAAATTGATCGAGATACCGGTGGTGCTATAATTACTCGAGCAGCTGTTCAATGCTTATATACGCATTAGCTATAACCTAACGCACTTCCAACAATCGATCACGGTAGTCATCCGAAAGCAGGGAAAGAGTGATTATTAACTGGCAAAATCCTACCGACCGGTAGCGCTTCTCAACACTCTCGGAAAGTTTCTTGAGGCAGTGGTTGCACGACGGATCAGCTATGCCGTGGAAACAGAGGGACTTCTCCCAAAGACCTATCTCGGGGGTCGACGAGGCATCTCCACGGACCATGCTATCCACAACATAATTGACCAAATCAAAATGGCTCAGGGAAAAGGCAAACCGGCGGTCTCCCTGCTAATGCTGGATGTGTCGGGCGCGTATGACAATGTCTCTCACGATCGTCTACTCCACAATCTCAAGAAAAGACGCCTAGGGCAGCTCGTGCCCTGGGTGAAGGCCTTCCTGTCAAATCGAAGCACAATAATCCGTATACCAGAGGGCATCTCAGGTTCAATACCAACACCGACAGGTATCCCCTAAGGATCGCCGATTTCACCAATTCTCTACCTCATCTACAACGCAGACTTGATTGAGAAATGCGGAAACGGTGTGACCAGCAACCGTTGGGTAGACGATGTCTGCTTTATGGCAAAGGGAGACAGCGAGCGAGAGACCATCAGGAAGCTCAAGATTGCCTGCGGGAAGGCCGAACAATAGGCCAAAAAGCATGCCTCGGTATTCGATCCGAAGAAGTACGCACTCGTGCATTTCGTAAACACGAAAGAAGTCGGACCCCAGTACACACCACTATCACTGGAAGGACACGCAGTACTAGCAACAAGGACGGCCGAGCGCTACCTAGGCCACTGGCTTCATTCCTGGCCTGGAATTTCAGTACCACCGTGAAAAAGCCATTTCGAAAGCAACCGTGTCTCTCCAGGCGCTACGAAGCTTAGCGAGCTCAACATAGGGGGCCTCGGTCTCTACCATACGCAAAATCTACTAAGCAGTTGTCATTCCACAGATGCTCTTTGGTGTATCAGCTTGGTACCAGCCTATACTGATCAGTAAAGCGAAGGCACACACAATCTGCCAACCATTCGTGGCCTTCCAGAAGCGTGCGGCCTGTCTCATCAGCGGGGCATTCCGGACAACGGCTGTAGAAGCACTGAACACAGAACTCCATCTACTACCCATAGCAATCTGCATAGATCGGATAGTCAAGGAAACGGCTCTACGGCTACCAACAGGGCTAATATTCGGGGTTCCACCGACTATGCTCCGACGTCGACCCGTAGACGAGAGAGACTGGTCAGGATAGACAACGATAGAGGCGCAAGCCTAGAAGACGGGCGGATGCCCTATAGCTCCCCGGGAACTTTGGCGAGGGACTGGGAGAGTCGAAAGGCATTCGTCCAAGCACCATGGCAAGCACCACCTGAGGTGATCATCGAGGACAGAGATCTCGCGGTGAATAGTCACAACAAGATTTTAGCTAAAAATCCAAAGGAAAGGCCCGTGGTTCTATACACCGAAGGGAGCGGGATCGAAGGAAGAGTCGGCGAGCAGCGATCATCCATCTCGAAGACCCATATACGCATAGCTAGATGGGCGGCGACGACACGTCTACAGTATACGCGGCCGAGCTTCGCGCTATCGAGATAGCACTCATATTAGTGTTAGAGAGCACGGAACCGTAGATCGCAAAGGCAAAAAACGGCCTTGTCATCTTTGCAGACAACTAAGCTGCGCTGAAGGCGCTCCGCCGGCCGCGGATGCCGTCGCGACAGATCTACCTGGCAGGATGCCTAGAGCAAATCCAGCGAGTCGCAGCCAAAGGCATCCGAACCGAGCTAAGGTGGATCCCTGCCCATCAGGGAATAGCGGGCAATGAAGCTGTCGATCGGCACGCAAAAGAATCTGCCTAGGGTCTAGAAGGACCCCAGAACCCTCACAACCGGTATATCCGTCTCGCAGCTGCGGCTAAACGTCACATTCAGGGCGAGGCGAAAACCGAGTAGGAAACATCATGGACCAAGGAGAAGACGAGCCGACCAACGAAACGCTTGGTCGAATTGCCAACCAAGAAGTCCCTGGAATACTAGTCTGACCTGCGGAAAGCAACCGCGTCGATTCTGATGCAGCTTAGCACTGGGCGAATTGGGCTGTCCGGCTATTTGAATCGCATCAACCGGCGAGAATCAGCGCGATGTAACTGCGAACTGGGAAACCAGACGGTAAATCACGTCTTGCTCGAATGTCCGCTGCTCCAGAATAAGCGCGACTGGATGAGAAACGCTCTATCTGACCGCGGAGTCTCTCTCCGACGCGACGAGCTCCTGGCACGGCCGGAGGCCCGCACAATAGTGGCCGAATTCATGGTCCGGACGTGTCTCTTGAGACAGTACCAGACAGTCGACCCAATGGCTCTCGGCGTGGAAGAATGCGACGAAAAATAGGATGACCCCTCAGGACAGTGTGACGGAAGGAGAAGGATGGTGCCCGATAGGAGTGCAGTGCCAGGTCCACTGTACTCCCTTGATGCAAGCGAACGCGAGAGCGGCAGCCGACAGCCCGGATGGCTGGGCAGAAGATAGGTGGGAAGAAAGGGGTTGTCTAGTGAAGGAGAGCCCGTGTTGTGGAACGGCCTGGGGGGTAGACGTTCGTTCTGGATTTCTTTTGTTTACAGTGTTTGCACTGCGGCATTTCATTTGCCTTGTTTGCATATATTCTGGGACGACCAATCAGGAGCTCGCTCCGCGAGCCCAAGAAATAGTCGTCCAGTGGGCTGGCGACCACCTTAAAGCTGTCGGCAGGCCTGAGCCGCCTGACAGCACTCCCGCATAGCAGCAGTACTTAGAGCGAGCTAAATCGGGTAAATGTAATCATCATCGTCATCATCGTCGTCATATCATCATATGGTGCAACTACTTAATACATTCAAAATATATTTCTGCATCGTTACATGCCAATCTCACTAACTCTTCACAATATAGAATACAACGATTTTCTTAGACAAAAAAAGTGTTAGTATAGTATTACCAAGTTGTTGAGATTTACAGGATAACGAGAGGCAGATTGAAGAACGTCGTTTAGATACAAATTTGCGATGTGAAATTGGTACGATTCTACGTAAGCGAAGGGGATTCAGGGCTTATTTAACGTGCACCAGCGGATGTTGGGAAATCCACTTACGACAAAACGCCTACATGCAGGTGTCGTAGATCGTCTTAGACTTATCCTCAACAGCGGACAGCCCCTGACAGTGAAGAGTCACATAGAATCGAGCTGAACTGCTGTTCATCTCGTATTCTGTGGCCATACGCTTCGCTTCGAGGCATATTGCTTTTGTCTGTAGCCATATCACTCAACATCACAGAAGTGATATTGAAGCTAGTGTACGCCACTGACAGTTTGAATGACTCGGGCATGCCGACCGGAGGTTCCTGTCAAGGCATCAACATTTAGATGCCTGGAAGGGAAACCTCAACACAAGTAAGAAGGCTTATTCAAAAGACATGTTTCAAAATAATACATACGGGTTTGATAAAAAATGTGTCGTGGAAAAGTGGAGAGATTTATTACAGTGACCTGGGATTGGTCCATAACCAGCCCATATTTCCTATGTGTTTGTATGTAATATGCGGATAACACCTCGACATCGGTATTGTCACTCGAATACTCGGTTACACCGCCATGGGGCAGCTCAACCTGCCCCTCTTCCCATTCGTTTGAATAGTTTCCTTCTTTTAATCAATCACTCTTTTCTGATGGTTCCGGTAGTTCTCATTCGTCCATATGCATACTAGTCTATACCGATTCAGCTCGCTTTGACAAAATGATTAATTCGTAGTTGGACATACGAAACAGGTATAAGAAACAGTAATTTATGAGTACATGTTAGTAGGTTTATCCATCCTAATTTAGGAAGGCGTGAAAAATTTATGAATATGCGGGACGTGAGGGTCGTAAGCTTACGACCCTCCCCTCTGGAGGGGCGGGTCGCGGGTCGCGAGGAGAGACCCACGGTCCGGGTCATGGCGAGGTCTACATATTTCCCTTTACGGGGAAGTCAAGCGTGGTCCAGGAACGCCTGTTCCTTCAGCCTGGCTCCATTGGCCCTGGGCGTCTGTAACACAGTGAGTCGTACAGACCCAGGGCAGATACCAGGATGGTAATCAAGATGAAATACGACGTAGTGGAGAACTCAGTCTGAACTCAATTGATTGGTTGTAAGAGGTAAAGTGTCAGACTATCGAGAGGAGGCATAATGCCAAGGGTTACCGCCCTGGCTGACTAATGACCGTCCTGCGTAATAACTAACTAGTTAAGAAAGAACCAGGAAATCCCAAACATCCGCCACAACAGCTCCAGGGTACCAGCAATAAGCCATCTATGGGCCCTCTAGAGATCCCACTTATAGCCCCACTTAGGGCAATTTTTAGCCAAGGCACGTATCTTCCGTGGTCCATGGTGTACTTTAAATGGGATACAAGAACAAATCAACATATTAACGTTCTCTGTCAGCCTTACACTTCTTGGTACACAGTCTTAAAGGTACGGCTTAGACTCCGTATGAGAGAGAAAGACGCCTGCATAACCACCGTCAACAGTAGCCCTATTCACGAGAGCCAAGACCGATTTGGCACTGTCTTCTGGTTTCATAGGTCCGTGGAAGGCGGGTGAATATTGCTTAAACTTCCCAAACATAGCCATAGCCAACTGTCCCTCCTCCTCCGTTTCTATCGAAACGTTAGCAAAAAGCATTCCATTTCAGTTGTCAAGACGACTACATACCAATATTAAGACTGCCAGTGTCTACAGCACCAGGGCATATAGCCATGCAGAGGACGTCTTTCTCACGGTACAAGGCGCTGAACTTGGCCATGGCCATATTAAGGGCAGCCTTGCTCATTGCATAGGATGCGGCTTGGTAGATATCGGCTTTGAGTGTCATCTCAGGGTCCGACATGCCCGTGGAGATGGCAATCACTTTCTTCGCCCGACCTTTTAAAATCAGGGGCATGAAAGCATTGAAAAGATGGACGGCGCCGATGGTATTGACTCTGAAGTGGTCAATCACATCTTGTTCAAGGGCTTCTGGATCGCGGCTCCTGTGGAGAAATTAATCCCGAATCAACTATCCCAGGGACCTTGGTCACTCCGCCTAGAACTTACAGAGTATCAAAGCCAACCAGCGCAGTCTTAGATTGAAGCGCGGCATTGGCTATGACATAATCAAGGGCGCCATTGGTCTTCTCCGAAACATACTGAACTGCTTTCTGCGAAATCTTTAGGCTAGTTTCGACTTCGGTTTTAATATATTACTCATTAGCTTACCTCCAATGCCCTTGGGTCTGTGGTGTCGGCCTGAATGATGTGAATATTTTTCCGGCCGATTGCAGAGGAAACCTTGGACTCGACGGCCGCTTGGTCGCGGACGAGGCCGAAGACGGTATTGGCCGGGTCTTCAGAGAGCTGGCGGACGAACTCGAACTAGACGATGAAGTATGTGCATTAGTTACACGAGTCTTGTGCATGAAGCAGGGATGAGAGCGTACGCCAAGGCCACGGGAGACTCCGGTAATCACCCAGGAAGACATTGTGACGGTTTATAAAACTTATAAAGACTGAGACGGGGTCGTAGGATGATACTGAGAGTTGATGAGCCTAGAAGAGCAGCAATAGTGCATGTATTTATATATCGACCATGAGCCTCGTTTGCCCGCTTTTGCTGATTTCAAATCCGTCATGATGTCACATGGTGCGCCTAAAGCGAGGGTCCACTATAAATTGCCAAGGCACAGAAAAGTTGCCAGTTTTCTCAAAGCAGAAAGATAAGTGAGCATTCAGTCATCTTCCGCTTTGAGAAAACCGGCAACTTTTCTGTGCTTTGGCAATTTAAAGTGGATCCTCGCTTTAGACAGAGCCAGAGTTTAGTCCAGAACCTTAAATGAACAACACACTACAGTATTATAAATCACAAGTTATACAAGGCCGAGAAATCAAAATCGTTCTCTTCACGAGTCCTCCACACCGGCATAAATTTAATGTTGATTATAAAAGCCGCCGGGAGGATTCTGGCCGACCCCGAGCCCAATACCACATTTAGCTGCGCTCTTTTTGGCCTAGCCCAGGCAAGGGCGATTTCAATCTTTATCTCCAGCCCCTGATTCCAGTATCGGCCAGCGTGAGATCCTTATATTCCCCGCACTGCTCCTCCAGCGCGGCGATGAGTCGCTAAAGCTGGCACGGCCACATTTCGATTTACGCCAGAGAAAGGTCGCGTGACGAGCCCTGCCCGCGATGACGGTCTACGCGCGCACCGACGCAGAGGGGACTCTGGATGCGTCAGCGCCGGCTCATGCACTGGTGAAACAGAGCGAAGTTGCGGCGGAAGGCGGCATACTACAGGCCCCTCCGCCGGCTGCGTCCCCCGAAGGTCCGCCCTCCGAAGACGAATATCCCAGGGGACTCGCATTGCTGTTTATCCTTCTGTCGCTCGTCCTGTCCATTGTCATGGTGGCCGTCGATCAGGTGAGGCGCTGGATCTCATTCCCTTCCCTGCCGCCCACCCTCCGCTGACCCTCGATCCAGACCATCATCGCAACGGCCATCCCCCTGATTACCGACGAGTTCCACAGCGTGACTCAGATCGGCTGGTACGGGTCGGCCTTCTTCCTGGAGTTTGCCTCGTTCACGTCATCGTGGGGCAAGCTCTTCAAGTATTTTCGCCTGCAATGGACCTTCCTCGTCGCCGTCTTCCTCTTTGAATTAGGCAGTCTCGTGTGCGGTTCGTGTTTTCCGTGTCCCCGAGGGCTTTTGCGTGGCGATCGGCTAACTCCCGTCCATAGCGGTCGCCCCCAGTAGCACGGCCTTGATCGTCGGTCGTGCCCTTGCGGGTTTGGGTGCGGCCGGCGTCGGGCGCCTTCATCCTCATCGCCTTCCTGGCGTGCCTTGTAAATACCGTACCCAACCGGTCCGGTTCAACCACGGCGTGGCTTTATCTAAATCACCGGCCTGGATAATAGTTTCGTGGGTATCCTGATCCTGGCGCTGATACTCTCGCACCGCCTGCAACAACTGGTCAACGGCATCGGCATCCGCCACCGGGCCATCGGCCGGGGCGTTGCGGGTCGGCCGGGCTACACGAATAAAATGGGATCCGGGACCTTGGGTAAATAACCGCTGGCATGATACGGGACGGCTGTTTTGATCAATGTTAACTAATCTAGAAAAATCCCGATCTAATAGTAGTATTATTGACCTTTAGAGGGCTAACTATATAGGAAGCTATCTTGTTAGATGCTATACAGATACCTCGTACGATAGTCGTTTAAAGACGGCGCGGCATCTGTTTAGCAAAACCAGCAAACACTCTGTAATACCCTAGGTAATTAACCTAGTCTATATCATCCTAGCTACGTACGGACCGTTTGCTACTCCCTCTATTATAGTCCTCTCCTCCCTCCTAATGTAAAGGTATTATCTACTTGCAGGGTAGAAGGCCTGTCAATCAGGTAGAAGAAAAGCACCAAGTCCAATTGCTTCAGAGACTGTTTCTTGAGGAGTTCGAAACCCGCTCCTCGCAGCTCATATTTATGTATAGTCTCTTCGCGAAACAGGAAGGAGGGGTAAACACAAGAAGGAGGGGAATCCTGGAAGGAATACGAGCTTGTGTAACCAGTCTTCAGCTACGCCATCAAGGAGGAATAGCTGTTCGTCCGACAGGATCTTCAGGGCCCCACAGGGCCTAGGGCATCAATATAGGAATAGCCTCATGATAGAAATCTTATAACAATTATCCTCCCTCTAAGGATCGCTTGCCCTCAAGCGAGGTGAGCCAACACGAGACAATATAACAAATAGGCAGTCTAGGAGGGTTATCCTTTTGCTCTCGCTTCCCTAGCCGTTCGGCTTAGTTTCGCCCTGGTTCCGGTAGGAGTACGTTGCCTTCCCTTAGCAGCTTGGGATTTCTCTTTGTTTCTCCGCTTCCGGTAGGATTGTATTACTTCCGTAGCATTTGCCATATCTTCTTGAGAGACCTATTAGTTATATTCGGAGGGCCAGCCTTTCTATTTAACGAGGAAGTGAGTTTCTCCTTCAATCAGCTTCTCATCACGCACTTCTTCAACCTCGTACTCGTCTTCATCTTCAAGCTCGGGCATCGGTAAGGATTCGTTATCCTTTCGGCTATGCTTTCGCTATAGTTCGAGGAGGGACATATAGAAGACGTTGTAGATACGGTCGTATTGCTAAGGTAAGCTTAGGCGGTAAGCTTGTTTACCGATAGCTTATAATACCTAAAAGGGGCCGATAAAGCGGGGAGCTAGTTTCTTGCTTCCTTTCAACTTAAGATTCTTGGTTAATAGTCTAACAAGATCGCCCTTCTTGAATTATATCGGTTTATAGGCTTTGTTATAGTATTTCACTATAGTTTCGTTTGCCTTTTGCTAGTGTTCCTGCAGTCTTTAACGGAGTACCTTAAGCCTTTTAATTCGCGCGGATGCCGCTAGAACCTCTCCGTAGGGAGTTTCGCCCTCGAAACGTTAACAGAAATCTAGTAAATAGCCGAGTAGAGCTTAGAAGGGTAATAAACTAGTTATTATGTTAACGGCGTTATTACGTACGAATTCTGTAGATTTAAGCAGTATTAGCTAAAGAGCTTAGTTTTTAGCTACGAAGCATCGAAGGTAGTATTTAAGGATTTAGTTAACGCGTTCCGTTTAACTATCGGTTTAGGGGTAAAAAGCTATCGAAAGCCTAAGGCGTACTCGAGATAGGTAATAGAGATTTAACTAAAACTTGCTAGTAAATAGGGATCCACGGTCGGAGATAATACCCTTAGGGGGTCCAAACCGTAATTCGACGTTATTATAGAAAAGCTTAGCAAGTTCTCCTACAGTAATCGTGGAGGAAACGGGGAAGAATAGGGACTATTTCGTGAACCGATCGACAATAATAAGGATTGCATCTACTAACTTGCCGTTATAAATTGTTAGTAGGAGTCTAGTAATAAAGTCTATTAATAACTCTACGAAGGGTCTCGGGGGGATAGGTAGTAGTTAAAGTTTACTATAAGGCTTATATCTCTTTAGGGTAATACCTTGACAGATCTAGCAATCCTGTACGTATTCGGCGACGTCTCGGTTAAGGTTCGGCTAGTAGTATTTCCTTTTTATCAGCTTAAGGGTTCTAGTACGCCCGAAGTAGCTAGCAAGAGGATTATTATAGTGAATACTTAGTAGTATAGTTCTAAGGTTACTCCCCCGCAGGGATATAAATACGTTCCTTGAATCGCAAAAGGCTCTCGGGCTCTATACTCTAGCCCTTAAACCCCGGAGTCGTATACTCGACGGCGGTCTTTCGGTGCTAAGTCTCTAGGTCTTCGTCTTAAAGTCGCCTAACAAGCTCCTTAAGGTCCTTACCTACCTCGGCTAGGTAGGCCTACTCGGAGGCACAAGCTAGCTAAACCTGCGCGTTAGGGAGACGGCGCGCACGCCCGAGCTCCCCCTAATCGATTGTACTAATCGATTTATCCCTATCTTTATTCTCTTTAAAGTATAGGATACTCGAGGTAAGCGTACTCACAGTCAGCGACTAGACCCTAATAGAACAGTAATTAGTCGTCTGCGATTCGCTAGCTATTCGGCGGCTCAACGGCGAAATTAGGTTAACCTTATAGTTACTCGGTAGCTATCGCCGAGAGGGTCTATCCGCGGGATTACTCTTCCTAGCGCGATATTTTATCACAAAATCAAACAGTATAAGGGCCAAGCACTACTATACTTACCTACCGTTAAGCTTTAGCTATTTTATAAAAGCCTAAAGGTTCGAATAATCCGAGAATACTTTAATTAGGTACACACTCCCCTCGAGGTAGTATCGCTACTATTTAAACAAGTATACGATAGCGAATAGCTCCTAATCCGGTATTCTATAGAGGACTTCTGCTCCGGTGAACTTCCGCGACTAGAAGGCTACTAGATACTATATTCCGCTCTCGTTAAGCTAGGAGAGGATCCCGGCTATAGCGCCGTTAGATATATCGGTTTCTAACCGAATCGGCTTCGACGGGTCAAAGTATTAAAGAAGAGGCGCTAACTAAAAGGCGGCGATTAGGCGGCGAAACGCTACCCTTTTACGAAGGTCTAGGTTAACCTATCCTAGCTTTCGCCCGTTCTTACTACCTTTTAGTAGGGCTATAAGTAGTAGTATAATACGGGAGTAATTTCTAATAAATCTACAGTAGAAGTTACAGAATCCTAGGAATACCTAGATATCCCTATATATCTTAGGTAGCTCCTACGACGCGATATCGATTACCCGGCGAGGGTCTATCGAAACGCCCCTTTATAATATAACAAAGCTAAGGAACTTAACCTAATCTTAGTAGAATATACACTTACTAGGCTTCGCGTATAAGCCTGCCTTTCGTAGCTATTCTAGTACCTAGTATAGATAGTCCGTATACGATGCTCGGTCTACCGAAAAGATTAAGATATCGTTAAGATATACTACCGTAAAGACGTCGAGAACGTCATAAAGCGCTATATAAATATAGTTTTAGAAGGTTACGGGCGTATTTATAAGGCCGAAGGGTATAACTATGTATTCGTAGTGCCCGTAACGTATACGGAAGGCTATCTTCTACTCGTCTCCTTCCTTAATACGGATTCGGTAGTAGGCGTCTTAGATATTAATCTTGCTAAAGATCTTCGACCCTGCGAGTCGGTCTAAAATCTCTAAAATAAGGGGTAAAGGGTAACGATTCTTCACTAAAACCTTGTTAAGCCCCCGGTAGTCGATATAGAGGCGTAGGCTTCTGTTAGCTTTCAGCATAAAGAGGATCGGGGCCCCCGCGGGACTCTTAGATTCGCGTATCCTACCGTTCTTGAGGTTCTCGTCGAGGTATCGGCGTAGTTCCGCGAGTTCCTTCTAAGAGAGAGGGTAGATAGGCCTATAGGGGACCTTAGCTCTAGGGGTAAGGTTAATTAAGTGGTTATATTCGTTAGATAAAGGTAGGGTCTTCGAATTATAGGATAAGAAGACGTTATAGAACTTCGTAAGTTCGGGTAGTAGTCAGTAGAGTTCCGATAGGGTTTCGTTAGTATTACGGTTAACGGGTAGCTATACTTCCTTAGGTAGTTTAACCACGGCAAAGACGTGCGCGTAGTTCCTAGCTTCCTTAGCGAATCGCTTTAGAGGAAGAGCCTCGATTAAGGGTATTCTAAACTACTAGAGGCTACTCCGTCCCGTAAGGTGTATATCGAGGTCGTGAATTATAGTCATAGATAGGAGTATAGGGCTTCCGTTAAGTTAAGGGTCTCGGTTAATAGCTATATATACGCGAGTGAATCGGCGGGTAGTCCCTCGAGAATCGGTAGCCTTTAGTAGGATATTCTAGACTCCGTAGGTAGGCGTCGTTCGTTAGTTAATAGCACGGATAAAAGGTTCGGTAAGTTTAGCTGCTTAGAGCTTATACTTCCTAACGAATTCGAAGCTCACAAGGTCGACTTTAGCTCTACTATCGAGATCCGCGTAGGTTTCGAGATCCTTTCGGGTAGTAATCGGTATATAAAAGCGAGTTCTAGTTCCTACTATAGGAAGAGATAGAGGCGTAGGGTTTATTCCGTCTCGCTGTCGTTTCTCTGTAGTGCACTTTAGGCCTTCGTAGGTTCGTTATCCTTAGGAGGGTTTAGGTACTTATTCGAATAGTGCTCTTCGCTTCCGTATATATAGTATCGGTTTCGTTTCCCGTCCTCTCCGATAGGGTTTAGGCCGTCCTTTAAGGGTGAATCCTTATTATTACGGCCGTTTCGGTAGCCCCCTTTCGGGTTCTTATAGTTCTTCCTTAAAGCTCCTAGAGGTTTCTATGAGGGTTCTTGGTTATCGGTCCTCTTTCGTTAGGTATCCGGAGACCTTTCGGTACGCTTTCGCTTCCGGCTAGCCTCTATTCTTTTAAGGTCCTAGAAATAGTAGGTAATATCAATTATCTCTTCGCGAGTCTCAGGCAGCCTTATTATATAGCGGCGGATAGTATTTTGT